ATAAATGTGTCTTTATTGGGAATTGAACCCAAGCCTTTGTACTAAGCTGCATCCCTGGCCCTTTTTAGTTTTTTATTTTGAGACAGAGTCTCACTAAATTGCCCAGGCTTGGCTTAAACTTCTGGTTCTACTGCCTCAGTGTTCTAGAGTGCCAAAATCACAGATATGTACCACCATTCCCAAATACCAGATCATTTTTTTAAAATTCCACATACATACATTGAAATATAAAGTGTCCTTTATGCCTCTTGATGTATTATTCAAGACATTTTAAAGGTCTCCTACATAGTAAGTCATTCTGAGAAAAAAAGCATTCTGAAGAATACTTGGATTTAGAGTTTTAAGGACCAGCAATCCACCAATGTGAGTAGCTAACAAAAGGAAATAACATTCTCCTAAGCATATGAAAAATGTTCAACTTAACTTCCTATAATAAAATATATACAAATTAAAACTACATAGAGATACCTTTTTTTTTTTACTTAAGATCAACAAATTTGGTAATAAACTATAAAACAAGATGTAGAGAAAACAAACTCATAATATATTGCTTGCAGAACTATAAATTGGTATAGCCACCATACAGAGAATTTGGCAGTATCTTAAAATTTTAAACATGCATGTACTTTGACACAGAAAATCTTTTAGAAAAGTTGTCCCTTACATTCACTCCAAATGTGAAAAAAATACATGTATGTAAAATTATTCAACAGGTATTGTTTATAATAACAAAATACTGGAAAGAAGAATAGCTAAGATTCATATGGCACTCAACTCATCAAGTGTTCTAAACTCCATATAGGTTAACTTGTTTAATTGTCATGGTTATGAAGTATGTACTGTTCTACAGATGGAAAAACTAAGGTTAATTTATACAACTGGTAAGATTTGAATGCAAGGCAGTTTTCCATTAGTTCTGCAGATCACATCTTATCCCATCAGGAGGGACTAGTCTACACAGTCATAGAAAAAGAAAAACAGAGTAAATATTCTTTGTTAATGGAATGATCTTCAAAGTATATTCCTAAGTAAAATTTTTTTTAAAACAAAGGTACATACAGTGTTATACTGTGCTACCATTTGTGTAAAAGGGAAAAGATACATGCATTTTTACTCCATTGTATAAAAAATATTTTTAGAAGGGTTTAAGAAAACTGGCAATGTTGATTACAGGGAGAATAATTAGGTAAGTAAGATATAGATTGTGACCTCTGCTCTTTTTTACCTTTTGAATTTTGAATCATGAAAATAATTGCCTATTCAAAAAATATTTATAAATATTGTATTTTATACCAAAGTTTAAAGTAAATATTCATGAGTCCATACTGATATGTATATGTGACTAAACAAACAAATAAAGAACAAGGTAGACTAATCTCCCATGTTGAAGAATTCCACATACTTTATGTAGATACGCTATCTTCAAGGAGAGGGAGTATAACTTTCCACTCCTTAAGTGGGGATTGCTCAAAGTGACTTAATTCCAAAGATTATGGTATGGAAAGAGGGTAGGGGAGGAATTGCAGTGGAGAAATTTGACAAGCACTGCCTCAGTCAGCATCAGTGACGCCCTGTTCATAGTAGGTACCCTTGATACCGCTGTGCCCCTCTAAAACTAATAACCATAGTTTAATCATAAGAAAAAACATCAGATAATTCCAATAGTGAAGAATCCTATAAAATTCCTGCCCAGGACTCCTCAAAACAGACAAGAACATTAAAAACCAATAAAGTCTGAGAAACTCACAGCTAAAGGGTCTAAGGGTATGTGACAGTAAAGGTAACGTAATATCATGAATGAAATTCTGGAACAGAGAAAGGGCATGAGGTAAAAACTAAGGAAATGTAAATAAAATATGTGCTTTATTTAATAGTAACATCAGTATTGGGTCATGAATGTATAATGGAGTAAAATGTTAATGTGGTAACTATATTATTTGAATATTTGTACTAAAACTGGTTCTAAAAATAGAATAATAAATATGCTGAATGATATTTTAAAAATAAATTTTAAATTCACATGTCCATTTGGAAAGAAAACATGAGCATTTTTTGTTTCAGGTTTTAAACTCCATAGGTGGTTCTGATATATGGCCAGAGTTGACACGTTTTAGGAATCCACTCCTGCTTGAAAACCCAATTTTTGAATTTTTAAAAATCATGAACAGTAAATCCCTGTATATTCAATTAATTAGCAGTTTGTTTTTTGTTAATTTTGTGTAATTACATAGGCCTTTTTAAAATATGGGGTTATGCATTTTTCCTATGTATTTTTTAGGTGCTTATCTTTAGTATATTCATGACTCCACTTCATTTTTTATAGCTTTAGCCACAGTGTTTCCCGATGTTCATTGGCAATATTTAATCTTTTCTACCTTTTTTATGGCCATTATTTTCTCTTACTTTATGTAGTTCTGACTCTCACTTTCAGATAATTCCTAAGTATCTTACCAAACACATCTATCAGTTAAAAATCTGTCATAGGCTAGTTAGAACTTTTTTCCTCAGAATTCTAATCTGTCAGCTTAATAGATGAATATAATTATGAAAACATTTTCTAGCCTGGAAAGTGACTTTATTTTTATCATCACCAAGGGCTTTCAGCCTCTGATAAACAAATGTTCATTTTAAATATATACTTGTAATGTTCTCTTGTAAGTTTTTTACTTGCTCTTGTTTCTGTTAATACTGATTTCTTGTTATTATTATTCATTCAGTCATGTGTCTGTTAGGAAGACCATTTTATATTTGTTTTATTCCAAGCCATAAATTTATTACTTTAATGCTGTTTTCTTTGTGTCATTATTGTTTTTATTATTAAGCTCTTCAGTAATAATTATTTGAATATTAGCCTTATGTATTAGTGATCCATATGATTTATCAGAAGAAATGCTGTCTCTTTTTGTTTCTCATTTTATAATCTAAACCCTGAAACTTCTTTCCTGACCTACAGCTTCAGGCTTTCTTCAGGAGCTTACACTGATCTTTTCCTGCCTCAGTTCCTCTACACAGCGCTATCAGCATAATCTTTTTAAAATAACATATTTAGGGCTGGGGATTTAGCTCAGTGGCACAGTGCCTGCCTGGCAAGTGCAAGGTCATGAGTTCAATTCCCAGTACCGGAAAAGAAAAAGAAAAAAAAAAAAAAACATATTTAATCATGTTATTTCCTTGCTTAGGATATAGCATAATAATGTAAACTAATAGTGTTTATTGATCACAGGGCTCAGGATTATGTTGTCATCAAGAAATCTCATTTTGATAAATACCCTATAGAGCAGGTACTTCGGATACTCCCATTTTATAAACAAGAAAGTACTCTGAGAAAGTTGCACAAATGAATCCGAAATGTTGTAGATAGTAGATGGCAAAGCTTGAACCAGCTGTGTTGACTCCAGCTTTGTTAGTATGGACCTAGTCAAGCCCCATGTGCGTTTGTGCCCTTTTTGCTACTCACCTCTTCCCCACCTTGTTCTTCAGTCACAAGGCTGTACTCAACTTTATTCTCAATATTCTCAATTTCAAAAAAATTCTCAATTTCAGCTTATGGAAACCCTGCTTCTTCCCTCCCCTTTCTTCGTCTTCCCCTAATTCTGTGGAATGAATTGAACCCTGGAACTCACACATGCTGGGCACGTACATTACTATGGAGCAAGAGCCCTTCTAAATATTTTTTATTTTGAGACAGGGTCTTGCTGAGTTGCCCATATTGGGCTTGAATGTCTCAGTCTCCAGGGTGGCCAGGAGTAGGTGTGTGCCCAGCTTTATTTCTCTTTTTTAAGGTTCTGCTCAAGTATCCCTGTACTTTGGGCTTCCCACTTACTTGCTCTTACTCTAGAATTTCATTTATATTTCATTTGCCTTACGATGTATAATATTGTATTGGTGTGTATTTTCATCTTACTACTAGATTGGGAAGATAAGGACTGTTTTCTTTTTTAAAAACTAAATACAAGGCCAATACCTTGTATTTAGCAGACATGCAAGAAATATAGCTAATAAAAATCAATTTCATTCATACAAAATTTGTTAGATTTTGTTTTTTAAGAACAGAATGTGGAATCCTTTATTAATCCTGAAGAATTGTTGCAATTTGAGATATTTCCTTCTCCAATTTAATAATAAAATTTTGTAAAATTCTAATATTAAAATTTTAATAAAAATTTAATGTATAAAACTTTTGTATTTTACTTTTTCAGTTGACTTTTTAGAGAGATGGGAAAGATTCTTCTAATGAGAAAATTAAACACAGAAAATAAGAGTATCTAGGTTGCTTTCTATACCTAAAACACCTGCCATAAGAAGATAGACTGATGCTAAAAGTGAGGTACAAATTTAGCTATTTTTTCCATTGGACAACATAAATGAGAACACATGATTAACTACATGATCAAGTTGTTCATATTATAAAACCAGTCAAGGAAATTTCTTTCATGGATCTTCACCAAGCAGGGTTATCATATGAAGTAGATAAATCACATGTTGGCACCATCCCTGTAATAAATGCATTTACAGTTTAATGTGACTGTAAGCCCATAATCCCAGCTGTAGAGAGACTGAGGCAGAAGTACTGTAAGTCTGAGCCCAGCCTGGGTCAGTTTATAGTGACATCATTAGACCCCATCTAAGAATAACAATTAAAAGCCTGGGGATGTAGTTCAGTACAAAGATCCTGGCTTCAGTCCCCTGTACTAACAGAGGGAAGGAAAAAGGAAAGGAAAGAGTGGCAGTAAGTTCAAGATTGTATTCTTCACCAACTGTTTAGAAAGCCTGTATTTTAAGAGACATGTGTTTCAAGATAATTAATAATTATTTATTTGTAATTTACTTTTCTATGTCTAAACTTTAAAATTAGGATATTTGAGTACATGGATCACGTTTAGATACAATATTAATATAGTTAGCTAAAACACTGTATTTACAGTTCTTTCATATCATTGGCATGTAACATAAAAAATGGAATGCTGTGAGAATATTGATATAGGACCATTTTCCCACAGTTTCCAGAGTGTGGATTCTTTGGCATGTATGACAAAATTCTTCTTTTTCGCCATGATATGAATTCCGAAAATATTTTGCAGCTGATTACCTCAGCAGATGAAATACATGAAGGAGATCTAGTAGAAGTTGTTCTGTCAGGTAAGTAATTTTTCAAAGAGCTTCATTTTCTGTACTAAGTGCTGTGTTCTGTTACACTTAGTCTTGGTAATATACAGTTGCTTACCTCTTTCATTTTAGTGTTACTGTGTGATTTTTTTTAAACTTTCAGAAAGATTATATTACAGATGAGAAAGTAGGAAAATGAACTGTGACTTTGAGTGTTACTAAGCTAAAGGATATTATCAGCTGACCTAGAAGAGAAATATATTCTTTCTTTCTGAGTTGAAGAAATGAAACAGTATTAAAGTTCTATTTCCTTTTCCTCATTTCTATAAAGGATATAGTTGAGGAGAATTGAGATTCAGGAAAGAAAATCAGGAAAAGTGAAAAAATACTGAGCATATAAAAGAGAAAGTGGCAATATTTGCTTTTTCATGCCTTGAAAAAAACTTCCCTTCTTGTTTTCAGTGGGCTTCCTCCTTTTCCTACCTTACCGGTTCTTGTCATCCCTTATTTCTTCACGCCTACTATTTCCGCTATTAGTCAACAGCATGATTGGCTGGCTGTGGGCAAGATTGTATGTGAGGAGTAGAAAGGAAGAGAAAAAGCTATAATGATGCACAGAGTAGGTCTGCAATGCCTCTTTTCTGGCAGGAAAGGGGGATTGTTGGGAGAAAGGAGGCAAGCTGGCTAGCTAAGGGTTCAGAGTCCTGGTATCACTTTTCCCTCCTCCAGTACTCACCTGTTCTTGAGATTCTTTTAAAGTCCCCATTCATCTTACACTTCTTGTTTATCTAGCTCCGGTGCAGGACCACTCATCTTTTGCACCACAACCACAAACGATCTATATACTTCCCATTCCTTATCTTCCTCTTCATTCATGAAGGACTTCACTCCCTGTCCTCGCTGAAGGTCAGCTCATATCTAACCCTTCTTTGTTATGGATCTTTCATCAGGTCACAGGGACAAGACAAGCCTAATGACTTGCAGGCAGATGTGGAAGGGAGATCTTTGTGTCCTATTGCTCTTTGAAGGGAGAAGTTTTTCTCTCTTAACCACTAGTGCTATGGAGAACAGATAGAATAATCTGGCTCCAGAATGGGATCCTAAATGAGAACTCAGTATCTTTTCCTACAGAAGTATTACAGTAAAATAAAGATAGGTTCCATGGGTTGTTTTGTTTTGTTTTGTTTTGTTTCGTTTTGTCTTCTTTTGTTTTGTTTTGTTGTGGAAATGGGGCAGGGACCATCCATTTTTTTTCCCCTCACCATGTTTTCACTTTTTACTTTAGTACTGTTTCTCAGTATATGATAAGGTAGAGAGTTTTGGAGCAGGTGTTTTTGTTTTCAGGTCCCACAGTGTATCCTGGGCTGGCCTCAAAACTTAATAACCTTCCTCAGCCTCCTGAGTGCTGACATTACAGACATGTACCACAGTGCCTAGCACGGAACAGTTTTTAATTAGCTAAAACAGAGCTAACAGCTATTTGCAATCTTGTCACTTTGAGAAAAAACCTTTGGAGGTCCAAATACTTAGCCTACAGACCTCCAGGTTGAGTTGGAGCTCAGCTTATTTAAAGCTGGTGAACTTCTAGAGTTTAAAAAAAGTTTTTTTTTTTTAAATCACAGTATTAAATCCCCCAAATAGTTTATTTTTATGATCAGATAAAACTTTTGAGAAAAAAATTATTTTGTGCTTTGACAAAAATTGTGAGCCTTCCTATTTTCTTCACAATTACAAATAGAAAGTTTAATGCTTTTCTTTTTTAAAAGCTTTGGCCACGGTAGAAGACTTCCAGATTCGTCCACATACTCTCTATGTACATTCTTACAAAGCTCCTACTTTTTGTGATTATTGTGGTGAGATGCTCTGGGGATTGGTACGTCAGGGGCTAAAATGTGAAGGTATGTGTTTTAAAATTTTTGTCATTTGAAAAAGGATGTCACATTTCCCTTTTTTGTTATCAATGAAAAATCAAGATCATAAATGTTGAGGTAATAACCAAGTTTACAGTTGCAGAAATTAGCAGATATTAAGACTTTGGACCTACCTCTATCACTAGGCCAGAGATGTAGCTCAGTGATACAGGTCCCAAGTTCAATTCCCAGTAACCCACCCCACCCAAAAAAATTAAGTACATCTGTCACCTACTTGTTCCGATCTTTAAGCAAGTCCTCTTTGAGGATTGATTTCTCTGTAAATACAGCATACCTTACTAGTTTCATAAATAGTTAAGTAAGGTAAATGGGTAGAACATTTGATACAAAGTAGTAGCTCAATAAAAACTAAGCTCCTTACCATAGCAACTTTTTAGAAAGTTGACCAACCTCCTCCTTTATCATCTTTTTAGAAAGTTAAATCTCTTGTGTACAACAACAAAATAGTAAAAGATTTTCTGAGTTAGAATTGCTAGGGCTAGGCTGCAGGTACACATTTTGACCAAGGAGCAGTATTCTAATGTGGAGAGTCAATAAACTTTTTCTGTAAAGGGTCAGAGAGTAAATATATTAAGCTTCAGAGACCATATGGTCTATGTTATAACTTAACTCTGTTATTATAATGTGAAACTAACTACAGACAATATGTAAATAAATGGCATGGCTGTTACCCAGTAAAACTTATATTTATAAATACTGAAATTCAGATTTCCAATAATTTCTCACAGTGAGAAGGATTTAGTACACAGGACACAGTTTGTGGCTGATTAATGCCTCAAGCCAGTGGTTCTCAAAATTTACCAAGCATCAGAAAACATACTCTGCTGGGCCCCATCTCCACCCAGAGTTACTAAATATAATGCAGTAGGTCTAGGGTAGAGCCCAGTAATTTACATTTCTAACAAATTCCGAGGTGATTGTTTTAGAGACTGCAAAATCCGCTACACCAGCTAATTTAATCTTTCTAAATACACCTTGCTCCATACTTCTTATTCTTGTTCAGTTTATAAGCTTTTACTCAAGTGTTGTCATCTGGGTTCCTATTTAAGATAGTACTGTTGATAAAGAAAATAAATAAAAGCATTAGTTTTTATGTTTTACACTTAATCAGTACAGTTTTTTTAATCTTACATTTTACTTTTTAAAATATATTTAGGTTGTGGATTAAATTATCATAAAAGATGTGCCTTCAAGATTCCAAATAACTGCAGTGGAGTAAGAAAGAGACGTCTGTCAAATGTGTCTCTACCAGGACCTGGCCTCTCAGTTCCAAGACCCCTCCAGCCTGAATGTGTACCCCTTCTCAGTGAAGAGGTATGTACTGTAAGGTAATAGAAGGACATTTTACTAGTCATTCCTCATGCTTCTCTATGGGATATAGAAGAGCATGTGCTTTACCAGTTTTCCAAGAACCTCTCAATTTAGTCAGGTTGACAACCAAGACTTACCATCACAGAAAACTATACATTTTATATCCTTGAAGTCTGTACTACTCTAACATTTCCTACACACTCCTATTTTCTCCCTAACTTTACTCTTGTTTTGCCAGTCCTACATGGTTTTTCCAGATCTAGCTCAAAAGCTAATTTTCCACTTTCCTAGAAAAACATGAATGCCATCATATTTTTCAAACCTTTCTAATTGTGTGTGTAACATTCTACTTAACATAATGTTTGTATGTTAGTTCTTTCCCAAAGAGTTTATTATTAATTTAGAGAAGATAATATTTTTGTCTTTATGTGTCCCATTGATCCTCACAATATGAGGTTTATCAGATCCATTTACATATAAGACAGTGCAGACACGGAAATTATTCAGTGATTTGTCTGAAGTCAGAAAGAAAATTAGTAATAAATATTAGAGTTAAACCCAGATCTCATCATTCTTCTGTGATTTTACCCCCTAATGTATTGTGCCTCTCAAGGTTAAACGTAGTAGATAAGAGAAGAAAGGACTCTCTTATACATTTAACAGTGCTTGAAATGACTTCTGTCCATAGAGTATAATCTTATCGTTTAATTGTTTTTGTAAATTTCTCAGTCTTCTGTAAATCTTTGGCAAAATTAAGGCTTTGTGCTATTGTCTTGACATCCTGGTTACAAGATCTTGCTATCCTGATATACTAGAGTAAAAGCCTCTGAAATACTGTCATAAAAATCCTGTCGTGGAGCTGGGGATTTAGCTCAGCGGCAAAGCGCCTGCCTGGCAAGCGCAAGGTCGTGAGTTCGGTTCCTGGTACCGGAGAAAAACCAAAAAAACAAACAAACAAACAAAAAAAAATCCTGTCGTTACATATTGCTTAGCTGTAGTGTGAAATTTTTAAAGTAGAAAAAGAATAGTGGGCATAGGTACTGAGCATGAGTGATTATAATTAGTGCATTTTATACACCAAACTGCACAGGGAACTTATTTGGAACTGAACAATATAGGGTAGTGATATGTTGTTTTAAGAGCCCAAGAAGACCATATGATCTTATAAGTAGAAGATCCTTAGGACTCTAGTAAAATACTTTAGAGCTGGTCAAGTTCATCAAAGTAACAGGATACAATATCAACATTAAAAAGTAAATGACTTTTTTTATGTAGCAATAATGAACTAGCTGAGAAGGAAACAAGGAACACAGTTCTGGTCATAATAGCATCAAAAACTAATACCTAGGGATCAACCTAACAAAGTGATATGGCATGCGAGTTCATTGAGAACGGCATTCACAAGAAACCAAAAGAGCAGGAACAAACAAAGCTTTATTGAGCCGGCTGATGGACAGTCTCTAACCAGGAGCCAGAGAAGATGTCCACCCTGATCTGAGTCTCAACTTCGGTTTAAGTACATTTTTAGGTTTCCATAGTAAACATTACCTCGTTTTTTTGGGAATCTTATAAGAATGTCACCCAGTTATCACAAAGTTTACCTTTCCCAGAAGCTCTCAGACAGCTGAATTCCAGATGACCATTGCAGTGGAACTGTTAGCTACTTCCTAATTTAACCTGTTTGTTTGGTTCCCATTTTATGACTCTGCTCTCCTTTAGGTGGGATGATAACTAACCAAAGGGGAGAGGGTGGTAAAGAGTGGGGTCAACTACGATTTTTGTGAACTTAAGTGACTTCTCTTAATATGGAGTTAAAAAAGAAAATGTAGTCTCTCTGGCCCTATCAAAAGGAGATAAAAGAAGTCTATAGTGAAAATTATGGAATACTAAAGAAAGAAATTGAAGATGTCACTAGAAGATGAATAGACCTCTCATGTTCATGGATTGGCAGCCATGGATTGGCCAATTGTTAAAATGCCCATATCACCGAAAACAATCTACAGATTTAATACAATCGCTATCAAAATTTCAATGACAGTCTTCACAGAACAAGAAAAAAAATTCCTAAAATTCATATGGAAACACCAAAGACCCAGAATATCCAAAGCAATCTTAAACCAAGAAAGTGCATCCCTGAGGGGGCAGAAAGGACAGAATGACCCTAGAAAGAAAATGTTGAGTCTAACTAAGTGTGTGCAAAATGGAGGTAATCAACAAGTAATGCTCCAGAGCTTATAGTTGAGAAATTACTCATTTTAAAATGCTTTGAGGGGGCTGGGGATTTAGCTCAGTGGCATAGCACCTGCCTGGCAAGTGCAAGGTCGTGAGTTCGATTCCCAGTACCAGAAAAAAAACAAAAGTAAAATAAAATAAAATAAAATGCTTTGATTTTCTTTATTTTATATAATTGAGAATTAGCAGTGTTACAGATTTTTGTGAGCAGTTAACTTGTTAGCTTAAACTTAAACTGTGGAAATAATCATATTTTTAGAAAATTTCTGGCTACACATAAATAGAGAAGAAACAACAGTTCAAGCTAAGCACCAATGTGTAAGCAGGAAACTTTAAAACAAGATAAGAATTTTCTTTGTTTCTTTGTTTCTTTCTCTCTTTCTCTCTTATTTTTTTCTTTCTGAGACAGGGTCTCGCTATGCATTTCGGGCTGGCCTTGAACTCACTTTGTAGCCCAGGCTAGTCTCAAACTCACAAGGATCCTCCTGCTGTGGCCTCTCAAGTGCTGGGATTACAGGCCTGTGCCACCACACACGTCCCAAGATAAGAATTTTCACTCAATTCAAGTTGCTTGAGTTTCAGTGGCTTTCACCCCTCACTTTTCCACCCCCTTTTTTCCTTTGCATTGCTAGGAATCAAACCCAGGGTCCTGAGCATCCTGGGCAAGTAGTTCTACCACTAAACTAAATTCCTAGCCTCTGAGTGGTCCCATTTTCACCAACTTCTCAAGCTAAATCTACTACCATCCTCCTCCAAAATTCTGTTTAAATCTTCCGTACCTTTCCTGCCTTCCTCACTCAACAGAGAAGCAAACCATTGTTGTAGATGGTTTTGGTTTGGTTCATTTCTTTGTTTTGCTTTGCTTTTTTTGGTTATCGTTGAGACAGGATCTCACTTTGTAGTTCAAGCTGATTTTGAACTCATGATGATCTTCCTACCTCCTCAGTGCTGGGACTACAGGCATGAGCCACCACACCAGGCTCTGGCTGGGTTGTATTGTAAGCCCAGGTATATTGAGATGGGGAAAAGGTTAGCAGTCACTGGACTACAAGGCCAAAAACTTAAGTCTTGATTCTAATACTGCCAGTTAGTAGTATTGATTATTTTAAGCTTATTTATTTTCATATTTAAAATAGGGATAATAGCACAAATAACTTTCTACCAAATATAACAAATTAGGTGGTTCCTACAACCACCATTCCCTCAGTAGTTCCTGACACACCTGCTGTATGCCATTTCCTTAATACCCAAGTCCCAGTTGCACCTGGTCAAAAGGCATTCAGTTGCTATTGGCATCTGAGAAGGATTGTTATGAAACTTATTCTCAAAAGAGTACCTTGGATGATGACTAACTAAATCAGTACCTTGGATGATGACTGACTAAACACATCTTGTGTGTTTTGAAGTTGATATAAACCAAAAGTGGTAGACGCAGGAGCATGAGAAGCATAGTGTTGAGTCACCACTAGAAGTGGGAGCCAGGGATGAACAAAGACTTAAAACATGTTTCTAGTTGCCTGTGGTCTCTTTCTTAGCTTTGTAGAATCCCTGTAGTGTTCTTTGGCTGAAAGTGGTCCATAAATGGCAGAAGGGAAGAAGAGTGATCCAGACTAGAGTAGGACAGCCTTGGACATCTGAAGCACTCAAGTGTGGTTTGGGGTTTCCCATTCTTTTTGTACTGTTCCTGAATTAAACTGCTTCATAATTCAGTTTAGAAATTTAGTCTCTTGGTTTCTTCTGACTTTTGTTTCCATTGGTTTAACATACCAATGTAGAGTGACTCATGACTCAACTTCTTTGAGTTATAAATATTGCTGGCCACAGAAGGCATCTAAACAATCTCAGGATCTCAGTTCTAGTATGAAGATGCAAGTAGTTACAATAAAATCTATTAATACATCTAGGTGGCAGTTATGTGTGTGGCTTTTATGCTTGAGAATATGGATTATGGTTTATTCATTTTTGGGTCACAAATACATAAAATAAGACCTGGCATATAATAAGTGAATGTTCGTTGAATGGATGTGATGAGCCATGTTGAGTTACCATATATTCTTTTATGTAGAAAGAGCCATAGTTAAAAACATTCATATATCTCTTAGGTTACTTTTTTTTTCTTTTTTTTTTTTTCTTTTGGTAATACTAGGTATCAAACTCAGGGAAACTAGCACTGAGCTACAGCCCCAGTTCTTTTTATTTTTTTATTTTGAGATAGGGTTTCAATTAAATTGTCCAGGTGGGACTTGAACTTTTAATCCTCCTGCCTCCGCCTCCCTTAGTGCTGGCGTTACAGGCATGCACCACCATACCTTTCTTACATACAGAGTTTTAAGTGTTCTTTAATTTTGTGTTTTTGCTTACCTGGGAGACAAAAAACCCAAAGAACTAGAAAACATTGTAAATGTTAGGGAACTATTTATGAGACTAATGCTGTGTTTTAATTAGTTTTATATATGCCATTATTTATGGAACCAAAATTAATTAGACTTTTTTGGGGTGAGGGAGTAATATCACAGACTGAAGCCAGAGCCTCCTCCCTGAGCTACATTCACAGTTGGTTTTTATTTTTGAGACAGGTGGTCTTGAATTTGTGATCCTTATGCCTCAGCTTCCCAGATTGATGTATAGACTTGTGCCACTGCACCTGATTAGACTTAAATTTATACATACATATTTTAATGTTAATTGAGATAAATTTGAAAATCTAAGATTTGTTCCAAATTTTTTCGGACATCATATTCAGTAATGCAATATTAGTTCCTTAATTTATTTAGTTTTTCTGTAGCTAATACCTTAGTAACTTTTGAATAGATTTAAACATGTTATAAGTTATTTTAAGGTTTTGGGTTATATTTGTGAAATGCTAAATGTGCATGGCAAATAACAGTGAATGTATATATATGAGAATTAACATACATTAATTTTGTTTGTTTACTGTAAATAATAGAGTAAAAAAGGAATCTGTACTTTTCTCCTTCAAGATTTGATAAATTAAGCTTTTCAAAGGAAACTGCTCAGATCTTCATTTTTAGAGACTTTTGTTGGTAAGCTTTTCTCCTGATACTTTGTTTTTAATATTGATTTAAACTTATGAGAATTACTTATATTTTAGTCACATACTCACCAAGAACCCAGCAAGAGAATTCCATCTTGGAGTGGTCGCCCAATATGGATGGAAAAGATGGTAATGTGCAGAGTAAAAGTTCCACACACATTTGCGGTTCACTCATATGGCCGTCCCACAATATGTCAATACTGCAAGCGGCTACTGAAAGGTCTTTTTCGCCAAGGAATGCAGTGCAAAGGTAGGATTGGATGTTTTCCTTAAGTAAAATTCGTGTCTGTTTTTGTTAATAAATAAAGGTTTAAACATGTATATATCAGAAACATTTGTTGAAGAAATTGTGCTTGCAGTGAACTTAAAAGAGAAAAGGAAAAAAAATATGTGAAATACATGTATGTATGTTAACAACTACTATTATTTGCAGTATTTGTACTATGTACCAGCCACTATGCTAAAAAAAAAAAAAATCAGAGCAACTATATGTCCTTTTGCTCTTAGTAGTAGTAGTCACTTTCTATTTAAGTAAATTTCTTAAGATTACATAGCCAATAGATAGAAAAACTAGAATTTGAATCTATGACTACTTAACCTATATGTTTAACACTTAGCAATATGGCACACCTTATAACCAGCAAAGCTGACTTTTGAGTTTAAATCTTCCTGATTATAGAGCCAGACATTACGCAGAATAGAAATACAGTAGTCATGCATACACATGTAAACTTATTACAGAGATCTGGATATTTTTGTTTTTAATTAGATAGCCCAGAGAACAGTACAAAAATGTCATTCTGAATAATAATCACACTGAGTAGGATATAAAAGAAGCCACTTAGCTGGTGATATAACTCAGCAGCACAGCACCTGCCTGGCAAGTGCAAGGTTATTAGATTCCCAACAGCAAAAGAAAAAAGAAAGAAAGAAACGACATAAATTATAAGAAAGATCGCCCTTATTTGTATACTAACCCAGTATACTTACCGGAGTATTCCCAAAATATCTCTTAACCAAACAGGTTTTTAAATGGAAGAGTAGATTCGTTCTTAGGCTTTTATGCTTTTTAAAGATGTATTTGTCTTTTTGTTTAATATCTTCTCTTCAATGCTCTGCAGTATAGTGAACACTAGGGATTTAATATATTTTAATCCCATGTTAAATGGAAATGGTGTCATGTAATTAATTTAACAGTTCTTGGTACCGTGCTTTTAAAAAACGTAGTAGAAGTATTTGTGGAACCAAATTATAAATGATTTAAATCAATCATTAAGATTGAGATTTTTACAATAGTAACACCTTACAACACATAATAAGATGTATATCAGTTTAACATAAGAATATAAGAAAAGGGCCAGAGATGTAGCCCAATGGCTGAGCACTTGCCTAGCATGCATGAGACCCTGAATTTCACCCCTAGCACTGAAAAAAGGAAACAGAACTTTCCTTCACAATATATGACAATACAGAACATCAAATAGAGAACATACACATTTGTTGCCAGATACGTAATCACCATTACATATGCAGGCATAAGTAAATGTTAAATTTTATTTCAACAGTTTAATTTGAATACGTTAATACATAAATTAATACTATAAAATACCAGCACAAAAGTGGCAAGCAGCCACTAAAAATTGGTTTGAGAAAGCACACTAATGACAGATGTAAAAATCATAAGCAACAAATAATCTTAGTAAAAGTAAGTTAATAATACCTAGCAGTGTAAAAACAGAATGGAAACATTGTAAAACAAAATGTAGAAAAACACAATATTTTGTAGAGGAATGAAAATATATAGGTTGATGAATTTTTAAATAAAACTCTGCAACTGGGTTATTAGTTTACTGTTTTAGAATTTTTTTTTTTTTTTCGGTACCAGGAATTGAACTCACAACCTTGCCCTTGCCAGGCAGGCGCTGTGCCGCTGAGCTAAATCCCCAGGCCCTGTTTTAGAATTTTAGAAGAACAAAGTTTTATGCTTACATGGGTTTAAAAAATGGCAGCTTATATTTCTGAATAGCTAAGCTTTGCCAGTGATCAATAAAAAATAAATTACTTTAGTGATTCTTTTATTTTTATAATATGCATTAAAATACTTAAACAGTGAAATAATCATCATGTTCATGCATTTGTTAAGCTAAAAGAGATACAGTTTATGATAGATACACTGGATTGAAAACAGTTCTTCACTCATTTCTTCCTTCATCTATTTATTTATCTTGTTATTTTCTCTTTTGCTATATGAAAACCTTAAGGCATCTTGAAATCATATTTGAAATATAATAAAACATAAACCAGTTGCTAAAAATGTGAGTTAAGGAGAAATAAAAGTGAAATAGAGAAATAAAAGTGCCTCCCACCTGCAGAGTACCTAGGCTGGATGTGGTGATGTGCATGTACCTGTGTTTCAGCACTTGAGAGGCTGAGGCAGGAGGACGTCTGAGTTTGAGGCCAGCCTGACCCTTGTATGAGTTCAAGACCTGCCTAACCTACATAGGGAGACCATTTCTCAAAAGTAAAGAACCTGCGTACTTGACACAGTCGGGCCACAAATGTGACTCTAAATTTTCAATGGGAAAAGGAACCTTATTATTTTCAAGATTTTCAGAGTTCAAAGGGTGTATGATATAGAGATGATATATGGTCTTCCAGATAATATAAGGGAAATATTACAACTCTCAACCTGCTAGATGTCCGAAATGCTGATTTTATGTTCTCTAAAATCAAGGAATGAATTCTAACAATGGAAGTTAAGCGTAGGAAGAATTTATTGAAAGAAAGATAGCTTCAGGCCATGGATATAGCTCAGCAGCACAGTGCCTGCCTGGCAAGCACAAGGTTGTGAGTTTGATTCCCAGTACTAAAAAAATAAATAAATAAATAAACAAAGTAGAAAGATAGCTTCTAAGAGAAGCAGAAGGGGGCTCAGAAAGCAGGTTGTTTGCTGACCCCACTTCTCAAGGGGGTTTCATTGAGCAAACACATGAGGTAAGGTGGATTCAAGGAGGGATAAAACTATAGTCAACTGATAAGATTACAAGTACAGTCACTTAGGTAATATTGATCCAATGGGAAATCACAAGGTTTTTGTGAGGTGGGACAAAATTATGGTGAACCAGTGAGATTACAACAGGTATAGTTGTTTAGGTAATATTGATTAAATGGTGATCAAATAGGGAAACAAATCATGTAGCAAGTGCACCTGGGAGGGACAAGGATTTTCCTGGAAGGGGTGAGTAAGGAGGTTTTGGTCCTTCAACCAAGTTGATTGATGCCTGTTTAGAGTATCTGTCACTGCTGATCTTCCCTAGAGGAAGTATGTGTGTGTGATTCCCCTTTTTCTTAAAGCCTGGCCTTCAGTGAATGTGCTTTCGGTCCCAGTTATCTTCTGTGCTGAGGGCCCAGTCCTGTCCAACTGCCTGCACTATTTATAACTAACAGCTGCATACAGTAGTAGTAGGTTCGAGGCCAGCTTGACTTACATAGGGAAATCATGTCTTCAAAAACGGAACCTGCATACTTGATACAGGTGGGCCACAAATTTGACTCCAAATTTTCAAAGGGAAAAAGGCACCTTATTACTTTCAGATTTCATAGATAGCAAATCTGTTGTTTAAAAGGTGTGCAAGATACTAATATCATATACAAATTTTTCCTAGGACCTTTTGTAAGGACCATGTTATGTATAATGTGAATATTACTCACCAAGTTATTAATTTTTAAGATTTTTTCCATATAATTATCTTCAGCCTATGCTGGTAACAATATGTAAGACTTCCTTGACTCATAAGAGTTACAAAGCATTCCAAGTCAAAATTCAAAATTCTTTACCTAGTTATTGCCGGTGGATTCATTTCAGAGCTGGTGTTAGAGATAGTTACATTAGTGGGTTTGAATTTTAATGTCATTTAAAGAGCTCATTAAGACGCATATTTGTCAGCCCTACTCCTAGAGTTACTGAGGCCTGACCTGGAACCGAGGGATTTGCATTTCTGCTGAACAGATTTTATCTAACCCTGATTTGCAGGGTTCTTGTAGGCTGAAAAGAACTGTTATATAAAAATGGGAGATCTTGTGCCTGAGAAATTGATCCTTCCATGTGTGTAAAAGCCCTTGTTAGGCTCCTCATGACTGTTTTACCTCAGTCTCCTTTCAGTATATGCATCAAACGTTAATACTTAGGAATTGAAAATAATGTAGCTGACATATGTTGGATTGAAATAAAATGAATATGAGGTAAAAGAAACACAGAACCAGCCGGCATATTTTTGCAGTATTATACAAATTGTATCAGGCTCATTATTACAGTTGAAGAAAGTAATGTAGTAGAGTTAAGTAACATGTGAGGTTAAACAACTATTAAAATGTGCCATCAGAAGTTGAAACTGGACCTTTAAAGCTTGAGTTCTGCTGAGTGTGGTGGTACATTCCTGTAATCCCACCATTTGGGAGTATAAGGCAGGAGGATCACTGAGTTCAAGGCCAGACTAGACTACATAGCAAGACCCCATCTCAAAAATGAGTTCCTAGTTGAAAGTGAGCCCTTTCTTTTAGCAACAACATTATCATTACTAATAATAATTTTCTTCTGTGAGTGATTTAAAGAAAATTAGCCAAATCTGATACTGCTTATCTACATATAATAATAAACTAATAATTTTATTTTAGATTGCAAATTCAATTGCCATAAACGCTGTGCATCAAAAGTACCAAGAGACTGCCTTGGGGAGGTTACTTTCAATGGAGGTACAATTATTTTTCTCTTAATTTCTATAAAAGATGAGAAAAGGTTGATTCTTTTGTGTAAGGCTATGTTTGCATATTTTTTTTTACTATTTGTTTAAGCTTTTCTTCTGATTTAATCAAGCAAAATATAGTGATACTGTACCTGTATTAGTAACTATGTTTTCTTCTCTTTCCTTAACCCATCTACCACTTGGTAATCTGAGATAGCCTGTGGTGCTGCATATCTTCTTTTGTATGTAGGCAAAAAAGTACTTGTTCTAAAACCCTGTTGTTTTCTTCTTTTAAAATTCTTGATATGTATTGACTGCTTACTATGCTAACACTGTTCTAAACTCCAAAAATATGGACATTTAAACTTAAGAACCACCCTTTGAGGTTAAAAAAAAAGGAAGCACAGACCTGCCAAAACATTTTCACAGTATTGTACAAACGGTATTAGCCTCATTATGCAGATGAAGAAACTGATCCCTGTAGGGTTAGGTGACTTGTGATAGGGTACCCGAGGAAGTACTAAGTAATACAGAGTAAATAACTTGTCCAAGAAATCCACCTCATATGACTGGTTTAAAAAAAAAAAAAAAAAAAAGAGTGTAAATAATTGTGTAGGAAAAGAATAAGGAATACAAATTAAACTAGATTTTAATGTTTTCTTTTGTAACATGTTTTCTGTGGTGGCTGGTTGTCTTGGTCTGTTCAGGCTATTACACCAGAACATCATAGGCTAGACAGCTTATAAACAAGAGAAACTTACATTTCATAGTTTGGGAGGCTGAGAAACCCAAAGTGCCAGCAGAGTCAGGGTCTGGTCAGGGTTGATCTCCGGGTTTGTAAGTAGTGCCTTTAACCACATCCCTATATGGTAGAATGCGGGAATGAGCTCCTTTGGGCCTACTTTGTGAGACCAGTAATTGCACTCAGGAGCAGAGCCCTCATGACCAAAACTCTACCTCATGACACCACTGACTTGGGAGTTGGGTTTCCACATACAAATTTGGGTATAAACCACCATTGCTAGTTCACATCATTGACAAAGTATGATGATTTTGCTCTTTCAGTTAATCTGAATTAATATAGTTTATTTTTTAAATTTTTTTATTAATACAATTGCCATTCATAGTGATTATATTCATGGTGGGGAGTTGGTACATATGCGCAGCACATCTTATTTCTTTTTTTACCCGCTTCTCCTTCCTTTCCCACCTTCTGTGTCTTGGTCCCCTTTTTATGACTAAAGTCTTCTCTAAATTTATAGTTCATATATTTGTATTTTTGTGCTTTTCTACTTTTCACAAACAGGTATGAAATTCTATTCATTTCTGTGTTTTTCTGATTGCTGGTGAGTTTGAGCCTGTGCTTACTTGTTAGTGTGGAGTTTTTGTCCTTGTAAATTGTGTATTCAAATGCTTATTTTTGTTATTACAAAGGTAATCTGTAATCTGTTATTAGAGGTTAGCAGTTGTTGCTAATTTGATCTTAGTCCTTTTTCACTTATATGTGGTATAAATCCTTCTCTTAGTGATTTACTTTTTTAATAGCTTTACCGAGTTAGAATTTGTATATCTTACAATTCACCTATTCAGTGTATTCACAGTTACATTGCCATCACTACAGTCTAATGTTAGAACATTTTTTAGCTTCTCTTCCCCACTAGCCCCAGGCAACTAGTAATCATCTAATTCTTTGTGTTTGTCTATTTCGGACACTTTATATAAGTAGAATTTTATAATTTGCAGTCTTGTAATTGGTTTTGTTTTACTGAGCATAGTATTTTTAGGGCTTATCCATATTGTAGACTATGTCAGTACTTCATGCTTTTTTATTGATAAGTAATACTACCTTGCAGGAATGTACTATAGTTTATCAGTCAGTGGATGTTTATGTTGTATCACTTTGAGACTATTGTAAATAATGTTCCTGTGAATACTTAAGTTTAACTTTTCTGGGGACATGTTTTCATTTAGGTAGGTATCTAATACAATTATTGAGTCACATAATATTCCTTTGTTTAATGTTTTGAGGACCTGCCACACTCTTTTCCAAATTAGCTGTACCATTTTACATTCCTACCAGCAGTGTACAATGATTTCAATTTCTCTGTATTCTTGCCACCCATTGTTACTGTCTTTTTTTTTTTTTTTTTTTTACAGCCATCTAATAAATGTGACATGTATCTTTTTGTAGTTTTTCACTTGCATTTCTCTGTTGGCTGATGATGTTGAGCATATTTTCATGGGCTTATTGGCCGTTTTTATTTCTTTGGAGAACTCTTTTCAGGTCCTTTGTCCATTTACCAAACTATTTCTCTTTCTGTTACAAGTTATAAAAGTTCTTCAAATAGTCTGGATATAAGTGCCTTATCTGATAACACAAGTCATAGATACTTTCTTCCAGTCAGTGGCAATCTTTTGACATGATTAGTTTTTCTTTTGTCACGTAGGTTTTTGGTGTTATTTCAGAGAAGGTGTTTCCTAACCCAAAATCATGAAGATTTATTCCTATGTTTTCTTTTAAGAGTTTTATAATTTTAGCTCTTACATTTTTGATTGCAGGCTACTTTGAGTTAATTTTTATATGGTTTAAGAAAAGGATCATGTGTCACACTTTGGCATGTAGGTATCCAGTTGTCCTAAAACCACTTATTAAAAAGACTATACTTCTTCCCTTCCCCACATTAGTGGATGATAATGTAATAGTGGAGGCTAATATTTTACTTTGCTTATATGCAGTACCTGTTGTTATATGGGAATTTAAAATTCTAATGTAGTCACATTAATTTTGTACCTTATGATTTTGTATCTTCTCTAAAAAATACTTCTTTATCTTGAATCACAGATATTTTGTTAAAAAGTTTGAAACTTATCTATTTAATAGATTGCTGTGCTTAGATGTATCTATATTTCATTCATATAAAATTCTGAAATTAATTTAAAATCTTGCCAGAACCTTCCAGTATGGGAACAGACGCAGATATACCAATGGACATTGATAGTAACGACATGAACACTGATGGTAGTCGGAGTTTAGATGACACAGAAGAGCCATCTCCTCCAGAAGATAAAATGTTCTTCCTGGATCCATCTGATCTTGATGTGGAACGAGATGAAGAGGCTGTTAAAACAATCAGGTAACATATAGGTGGTAGAAGCTACTTCTAAATGTGAGGTCAAAATCACTACTGGAAACATTAAGAAAAAGCAACATTTCTTTAAGCAGAACCTTAAATGTAATTTAAAATCTAATTAAATCATGGCTAATTCTTTTACATGTATTACAGTATTTCTGAAGTAAGTGATATTGCTTTTGCTGTATATCAAGATGAGAAAATATGAGAACTCTTTCTTAAAAAGAAAAATACCTTATTTAAATACAGTGTAGATATAGTAACTAGTTGTAGAGCAGCCACCACAAGGTGCCAGTATTGAACTGTCCATTCAAGCCGTGAGTTTCTTCTCACAGGCAGATTATCTTATAGTCCAAATAGCAGGTAATAATCATATTTACTCCTGAGAACAGTGCACAAAGATGATGGTGATGAAGATGGTGGTGATGAATTTGGGAGTGGTTTTCGTATCACCATAATTAATCTACTACTTACTAGTTACTGTACTACTAATATCAGTACATAGTGTTATTGGATTGTAAGATTTAAATATTTGCATATATATATGAAACACTATATATATATATTTATCTATATATAGAGTTTGTAGCCCATAGGATATACTACTTTGTAGCAAAATATAAGCATTTTAGCAGGTTTTGTTTTTGTTAGAAGTGAATGAAGAGTTCTTTAGAGAAAAATAAGTCAGTTTCATAATGCTGAGTCATCATTTATTCCCTTTGGCTTAGGTGTTACCGTTGTTGCTGCTGCTGCTGTTGTTACTAAAACTTTTTAAACCCAGTTTGGAGACTGTTAAAGAACACAACTAGGGCTGGGGATATAGCTCAGTGGCAAGTGCAAGGTCCTGGGATCGATTCCCAGGACCACGAAGGAAAAAAAAAAAAACGACAGCTAGTTTCCTAATCACAAATTACTTCATAGTTTCAGAGAAGTATTTAATTGTTTGCTGCCCAAATTTCAAAACAGTGTGTTTTATACACACACACCCCAGATTGGTCCTTTTCTCCAGCTGTAGTCGTGATTCATAGTTCAGTATAATCTAATCTGACTCATTACATTTTTTTTCTTAATACTACCTCTTGTCTTTTTTTCTTTAAATATTTTCTGATAAAAATACTTTTTGCCAAAGTATGATCCACAGAGTTCTACATTTGAACCATGTGAATTTGAGTATTATATGTGCATATTTTACTTTTTATGAATTTTCTAATTATTTTAGATGCCTAGGGGAGGAAAACTTCTTAAAAGCAAACTAAATGAGACCCTCTCCAGCTTCCTAAACTTTCAGTTAACAAGCATTCCTTCACTCTGCTCATTTTCATTTTTTTTTTATTACCTGTAACCCCCAGAAGATATTCATGATAAATAGTGAATATTTATGTTATCTCAGTTTTGTATAAATTAACTGTGTGCCATAATAACAGGGCTAATTTATTTTGTCATTGTCTTCCTTAACATATTTTTAAAATTTTAGCTTAGTTTTAAAAAGTTTGATGAGGTTGCAAGGTTTTTAATCAAAATTACAAATATTTCATAAATTTGTGATACCTTTTAGTCCATCAACAAGCAATAACATTCCACTAATGAGGGTTGTACAGTCCATCAAGCATACAAAGAGGAAAAGCAGCACAATGGTGAAGGAGGGGTGGATGGTCCATTACACCAGCAGAGATAATCTGGTCAGTAATCATGTTTTATTGTGCTAGTAAAACTTGGTTATGAGTTCTGTGTACTTTTAAAATCAAAATAGTATGTGTACTACCACAATATGAGTTATACTGAAATAAGTTACACTTATAATGGATTTTTGAAAGATACAATATTTAATGTAGTTTTATAAACTAGAAGAACAGTCAGTATTTTAAAAGGATCTGATAATTATGTCTCAAAGAGTGTTGCCTCAGAACAAGGAGCTGCAGCTAAAGGTGGAAAGATCTAAAACATCTTCTGAAAAGTCACCTTAAGTTATTACAAAGATAGGAAATACTTGTTTTTATGTAGACCAGGTTTTAGATCTGTCTAGCAAAGAGCAAGAATGGTGAAATCACAGTGGGATGATAGTAGATATGAAGCATCAGGCATGAAATAGTAAGAACAGACTTTGCAGCTAGACCACCTAAGTCTCTGTGACTTAATAAAACTGTGAACTTGGGAAAGTTACTTTGTTTCTGTATGTCTCAATTTCTTCACTTACAAAATTAGCATAGTAAGCGAGGCGTGTTGGCGCACTCCTGTAATCCTAGCACTTGGCAGGCTGAGGCAGGAGGATCGTCAGTATTTCAAGGCCAGCTAGGCTACATAGTGAGCTCAAGGACAACCTGAACTGCATAGCGAGACCATCTAAACATCAGTAATAGTAAAAGAAAAGAAAATTGGTACAGTGATATTAACTACCTTACAGTTCAGATATATCCCAATATCCCAGAAGAGTTTGGAACAGAGTTTGGCATATAGTAAGCACCTAATAAAGGTTAGCATTATTATTCATTTTGGAGTTTGCAGAATGGATTTCTGAAAGAGCCTTTGCAGCATAACCTTTTAAAATGAAGTACTCAGTAGATTGAGCTTCATTTAATAACGTTTTATACAGACTGCAGTTTTGTGCTTTTTCTTTTTTTTTATAGTTCATATCCTTCCAAATTGAACCTGAAGTTATGTTACATACATTGGAGAATTTAGTGGTGTGTCAAAGGTGTTCTATCAAATCAGTGGGGAGAATGCTAGATAATCCAGTAAATATCATTGACAACCATGTAGCCTTTATGAAAAAAAGTAAAGTTACAAATATGTCATACTTTGCATGTAATAAATCTGAATGGGTCAAGTATTTAAATGGAAACAGATTAAACCAGTAGGAGAAACCCTTGAATTATTTTATAAACTCAGTCGGAAAAAATATCAATAAATTTAATTTCATAAGAAATTCTTATGTGGCAAAAACCAAAAGCAAAGATGAATAGAAACTGGAAAAAAATATTTTTACCTCATTCTGAAGAAGAGTTAATTTCATGGTATGTGAAAAAAGCCAACAAATTGGTAGGAAAAAGACCATAGAACAATAGAAAAATGGATAAAGAACGTGAACAAAGTTCACAGAATAAAAATACAAATGACTCTTACAGGAACTTAATTTCATTTATAATAAAAGCTATATCAGTTTAAACTTTCATTGAAATACCAGTTTTTATTTTTCAGTACATCAGATAGTTTAGTAACATATACTGCATTAATGAAGGCATGATTAAGTAGGTGTTTTTGTGTTGCTGCTGAGACTACACGTTGAATCAAATCTTGTGTAGAATAATGTAACACCATCAAAGCAATTACATGAGCACACATCTTCTGACCTAGGAGGCCAGCTTTTAGGAATAGCTTACAGGTAAATTCTCACTCGTAGTCTCATGTTTGTGTGTGTGTGTGTGTGTGTGTGTGTGTGTGTGTGTGTACTTGTGTAACATGTGCATGCACACATAAATATCTCTAAAAGGATTCCTGAAACCCAGCAACATCGTTTGTTTGGAATAAGGTTGAGATACGGGATAGGAGAGATTGTGGGAGTTATACTTCCATTATATATCTTTTTATGTTCTAAGAATTTTGACCCTCTTAAATTTTAAACATGTTCAAAATATGGAAATGGAAATTAAAGGAAAAGAACTTTTATTTTTGAACCTCTCTATTTTATAGAGAAAGAGGCATTATTGGAGGCTTGACAGCAAATGTCTAACGTTATTTCAAAATGAATCTGGATCAAAGTATTATAAGGTAAGAATTTCATATTAAAATATTTCGTTTTTCCAGATATATTCAAATGATATTCATGGTTTGTGTGTACCTGTTATGACTGCCTAATATAGCTTTAGATGTCACTGTTCACTTATTTAAGCAGCCGTACCCATCCCTCCGTTTCACACCTTATCTCCAGCAGCCCCGCTACCAAAGATTGTTTTCTGTTGCTGTGCATGTGTGGTTTGGGCCTATCAGGCTGCTGCTGCTTTGCTTCTGGATACTATGGTTTTGGTTAGACTGCTTGGAAAGTCTCTTGGTCATTGCTCATGCAAAAGAAGTCACATTATTTTAAGCTCCAATTCTTAGTTGCTATTTTGGCTCTTCATCACCATTGTGCAGTTTTCTTCCTTGGTTTGCCCTACATTTTGCCAGGTCACAGACTGACAGCAAGGAAGATTGTAAGTGTGGTGATGAGGTCAGTAAGAAAGAGTCTCCTCTACTGGGAAGAGGAGACTTTCATCCTTTCAGGGCTTCCAGTGTGATGTTCAATGACAATACTTATCCATGGAGGAAAGTGAGACATAGTTTCTAAAGAAAGGAAGCCAGATTTAAAGAGTGAATGAAAATCTTCAGTGAATAAAACCAGGTTTCCTGCTTAGAGCAGTTCTAGTTACGTGGGAGATAGAGATAGGATAATTGTTTTGGTCTGGGAGTTTGGCAGCAACCTGGGCAAATAGGGAGACCCCTCTAAAAGGCAAATATAAAATACTGATGATTGGACTGCAGATATAGCTCAGTGGCATAAGCGCCTGCCTGGCAAGCACAAGGTTGTGAGTTCGATCGCCAGTACTGCAAAAAAAATAAAACACTGATCATTTGGTTTTTAAAAATACATTTTTTTGGCCCTAGGAAATGGACTTAACATTAATTAGTAAGCCCTGAATAATGGACATGAACCATGATGGAGTAGTTAAGCAGCTTATAATGACCAGAATTCTGCAAGAGATGTAGCTGTTGGGTTAATTTAATAACAAATGGAAATTAACAAGAGTTGGATATAGTAGCACACTATCCTAAATCCTTCCTGTCTGCATCTTAATGACCTGCTATATAAATATAGGCCTGAATCTCTTATCATAATTACATAACCATTCTCTGCCTCTCACATTGCTGGACATACAAATAACTTAAGGCATATACTGTTACGACATAGTTGTATATTTCAAATGCTACATACTGTATTCATCTTAATGACACGCATAGAAATTCCTATCTTCAATACTTTAGTGTATTTAAAAATTAAAACAAATAGGTATTCATATTCTTTAAATGCTTAATTTTTTTACTTTAGGAAATTCCACTTTCAGAAATTCTACAAGTATCTTCGCCACGAGATTTCACAAACATTTCACAAGGGAGCAACCCACACTGTTTTGAAATCATCACTGACACTATGGTATACTTTGTTGGTGAGAATAATGGGGACAGCTCTCACAATCCTGTTCTTGCTGCCACTGGAGTTGGACTTGATGTAGCACAGAGCTGGGAAAAAGCAATTCGGCAAGCCCTCATGCCTGTAACCCCTCAAGCAAGTGTTTGCACTTCTCCAGGGCAAGGAAAAGATCACAGTAAGCAATAAGTTGGTTGATGGCTTTTTCTCCTCTTTGGTTTTAAGCATTTTTGGGGTGTAGTTGTGTTCCTTTGTGCATTTTTAATGCCTACATATTGTCTTTAATAACTAATGCAATTAATTCATTTATAAAATTATACTTTTTATCATTAAAAAGCTAGGGCTCTGGCATCAGTCTCCCCACACTTAGGTGCTAGCTCTACCAACTGCTGTATGACCTTAGGCAAAGTACTTCACCTCTTTGAAGTACTACCTACTTATGGGGTTGTTAGTATTAAAATTAAAATAAAGCTATAAGGTATATAAGAATGCCTGGCATCCATTAAGTCTTACTGGATTAAGTATTCTACTAGTGTATTTTGTTTCATGGTAGCATATAACAAAAAAATAGTTATATTCACATCATGGTCATGAAATCTGTGATGTCAAAAATACTGTATTTTAAATGAGATAAAATATTGAGAAATATTTCAAAATTATTGATGTTCTGTACCAACAGAATTTTAAAAATTAAATCTCAGTTTGCTAAAGGTTTGAGTGAACAGTTATCAGAAAGTCATAATATAATGTTCTTTTTACCCCATTGGCGTTATGTTGTGAGGAAACATCATTCATTAAACTAAGGCATTTTTATTGAAATAAGTAGCAACCATTTTGTTGCAGTTCACCTGTATAATTTTGTGTAGCTCTTGGCATTATGCTAAGCCCTGAGATAGAACACTAAAGAAGTGTAGAAATCATAAAAGCTATTTAGGGAAATACGATATATATTACTAAGTTTTAGGTAGCATATTGCAGTACAATGCACAAAATGAGGAGTGCATTACTTGAGAAAGTCAGATGTAGATAAAAGAGTAAGCACGGATTTCCTAGCAAAAAAAATCTGATTTGGCAATCTGGAAAGCTGAGGCAGGAAGATCACACGTTCAAGCCCAGCCTGGGCAACTTAGTGACTTAGTCAGACCTTATCTCAAAATGTGTAGGGAGTCCGCTGAGATGTAGATTAATGCAAAGGCGCTACATTCAACCAAGAAAGGAGAGAAAGAGAAATCTGTTTGGGACTTTGGACTTCAGGCTAAGAATACGATAGGCAGAGCTAAATAAATGGGAAATGTGGAAGAAGTAGTGTTACTCTAGTTGAGGAGAAAGGTATGGTCAGAAGAGTAAGAGTCATGACCTTGTACACATTTTCTGTTTAATATTGATTTGATGGGTTGAGGGGAGTAAGTAAATGGCTGATTTGCTGTGGTTTTTAAATTCTGGAGAGTTTTAGATAGAATACTCAGACATTCTAATTAAAACCAAGAACGTTGTCACAGAAAACAGTGGAGACACATATACACACATTTTATGTGTAATTTCTAAGAATTTTAGGGCCCTCTCAATCCGATCTGTGGACTTCTCCCTTAGAGTTAAGAGTCTAAAGACAAAATTGTTAGGGTTAAGGTTGAACTTTCTAGAGAATATAAACCCAGTTTTGTTGTTTACTAGCTATGTGATTGTGGACTCTATAGTTCCATGATCTAAAGTGGAAGAATAGTAAATGTACATATTGGACCTAGCACGGTGCCTGACACATACATGATACTATTATATGTTGTTCCTTGTGTCCTTATAAATATCCATCTGGAACAGATAGAAATTAAAACTGGATGGAGCTAGAGGAGCCCTTTGAAAGAAAATGAATACTGACACTAGGACACAAAAAACTGGAAAATAGAGTTTTAGGCATATGAATTTTATTGATGTGCCTTTTCTTAATTATTAGTGTTTAAAATTTGAGTTATTTAAAATAGTTTCAAATTGACTTAATATTTTGAAATAGTTTTTTTTATAGTCATGTTACTTTTAGTAAATAGTTTGCTTAGATTCTGTATTAATGACATTCTATATTTTTTATGTTTGAGATTATAAAGTAAATTTCATATTTTTTGTGTTGTTCCTGTGGCTGTAGATGTTTGGTACTTACTTTCTTGCAAACTTGTTTCTCTTTCCAGTTTCTTATCACTTTCTTTGCCTACCACAGTAATACATTTAAACATTATAGACATATGTAACATAAAATGAGAAGGTTGTGCCTATACACATACAACACCTTTCCCCGGGCCCAATTCTATAGCTGTGCCCTCAGGAAACCATTATTGAGTTTGCTGTATAATTCTTGGTTGGACAAGGAGTAGGCATAAGGGGAGCCTGTACTGTATTATTGACCCTATTCATACTCTATGTGGGTTTTTTTTTTTTGCAGCTTTTACCCATTTATTGTCTAGAAATACATCTCATTGTGTGTATATAAGCTTACAAGAATTAAAACCCTTATTTTCCAACTCTCCTCTTCTCTCACTCAACCAGAAGTAATATTTTAATTCAGACACTCCAACTTCCCTTTTAAAACTTTATTTTAGCAATGCTGGAGATTGAACCAATAGCCTCACACATGCTAGGCAGGTGCTGTACTACTGACCTAGGAGTGTTCTCACTTCCCATCGTATCTCAAATATGGCTGGTTTTCTGACTCATTTTTTATCATTTTCAGTATTATCTTGTTATCTGCATTACAGATTGAACCCAGAACCTTCACACCGAGTTACATCCCCAGTACTTTTATTATTATTATTAATATTATTACTATTTTTTACTTTTGAGGTAGGGTCTCATTAAGATGCTGAGCTGCACAGGCTGGGCTCAAACTTGCTATCCTTCTGCCTCCAGCTCCCAGAGTGCTTAAGATTACACGCATGCACTATCACACCTGGCTTAGAGTATTACATTTTACAGGTGTGTCATATTTTACTTAACCAATATCCTGTTAATAAATTAGTACTGTGTATATAGATACATTTTAATGTGGATATTAACTGTGTATTAACCTACTTTTCAAGTTCCACATACCATAGGCGTTAATGCATCACTATTAATAATTCTGTTCTTATATATCATTCTTACGTTTTACAGAAGATTTGTCTACCAGTATCTCTGTATCTAATTGTCAGATCCAGGAGAATGTGGTAAGTGATAGTTACAGCTAATGTGCATATTGGATGATTAAAATGAGGATAATAAAACGTGAAAATCTTACTAGAGAAATAGGATCATAGCCCAAAATACTGAGCATTTTACCTAAGATACAAACCTAGACTCTATAGGTAATAAATTCTCTAAGGAGTTCTGCCTGATGGAGGAAACTAAAGCATATTTTTTAAATCACAGAAATAGAGCTAACTTTTTCACAAAAAGAACTGACATTAGACTACTACAAATTGAAATTAGAATATTACAAAATGATAGACTAAAGAGAAGGAAGAGGCTGCTTGTTACTGGGGGCGGGGGCATGGATAGACAGCATTTCATGCAAGACCAGGGAACAGGATAAGCAAATAGAAGGAAACCAGACATGCAGGACTTTTAAGGAATGGTGAATAGATTTGCATCTGTAGGTACATGTAGGAGTTTATAATAGATTGGCAAACTTTTCTGAAAAGCGCCATGTGAGAAGCTTTATAAGCTACATACATAGTTCTCACACTGTAGCAAGAAAGTAGCCAAAGGCCATACATGTATGAATGACCATGGCTGTCTGCGAGTAAAACTTGGTGGACACTAAGATTGGATCTCGTGTAATATTCACATGTCACCAAATACTGTTTTGATTTGTCCAGTCATTTAAAAATGTAAAGGCCATTTTTAGGTCAAGGGCTATATAAAAACACAGGTAGTGGCTGGATTTGGCCCACAAGCCAGCTTGCCATCCTCTGGATTACTGTGAAAAGACTAGAAAACAGATGTTATTCTTTAGGCTTTCTCTTCATAAAAACTTCTCATTTTATTTCACTTGAGGCATCTAGCTTTTATAGTTTTCTAACATACAGTACTTGGAATTTCTAAAATTGCAATGAATACTAGATATCTAGTATTATTATAGCAGATAGAGTTTCTGGGAAATACCATGTATATCTCTTATCTTGGTGGTAGGTAGAATAGATACCATATTCCTGGGGAAAGAAAAAACAGTATGAAGATGAGAGCACAGATTCTGAAAGATCTCACAGGAATTGAGGATGTATCCATCTATACTAAGAAAGAAAAAAGATTCAGAATTGGTGTTTGTTAAGAAATCTTTCCTGGCAGTTATATATGCACTGGAATGCCCACTTATCTAATTTGATTGAATCCAAAATTTGGTTAAAACTTAAAAATCGATTAGGGGCCAGGGATATAGCTCAGCAGCACAAGTACCTGCCTGGCAAGCACAAGGTCCTGAGTTCAATTCCTGGTACCAAAAAAAAAAAGCGATTAGTTGAGAAGCACATAAAAGTCAGTCTTACAAACCCTAAAATTTTCATTATAATTTAGCATGTATATTTGTCATTCACTGGCCTTTGATGCAGGGCTGAGGCCTTGTCATTGAGTGTAGATTTACTGGGAAGAGTTCCACTTAGTCTTTCTTTTGTGAATCTTATTTATGATGCAGTTCTGACACTACACATGCCTTAAGTTACTGCATGAATATTCTGACAGCAACAAGCACTAGTAAAAAAGAGGGGAGGAAAAGAGGGAGGAAGATTAAAGAGTGATTTTCAGTATAGATTTTCTCTTAGATTTTATCAGTCTTTCAAAATCAGCCTAATCTCAATATGAACTTTCAAGTTTTTCTTCAAATGAAAGATAACAGTCTTATTACTGTAGAATAGATGAGGCTTTGTTCTTAACTTTTTATTTATTTATTTATTTTTTTAGATCACCACTTAAAGTACAAGATTTTCAAAAAGATTTTTCCTAAGGGTCTTCTTATAGAATATTTTATGGTTGCACTTTAGTATCATAGTATAGAATTTGGACTTAGCCTTTTCTAGACTAGAGAAGGCCTATGTTTTATAAAATATTTTGCACTTCGTAAAAATTAATTACCTGTAACAAAAACCCAAAAATGTACTTAAGTTTTCGAGTCACATTGTTTTATAGAGATAAGTAATGCTGCTTTCTCTTTCCTGATAGGACATCAGTACTGTTTACCAGATCTTTGCAGATGAGGTCCTTGGTTCAGGCCAATTTGGCATTGTTTATGGAGGTAAGCAGCTGTAGCCTTTTCTTAAGTTTTATGTATTATAGGAAAATTGTGAAATTTAAAAATATCTATCAGCTATTTTGTCATACCATAATTTTATCAAGTGGCATCTTTTTCAAAGGCTGACTTGCACCCTTCTAACTAAATTCTTTCCACTAAAACTGAATATTTCTTAATTTCAATTGCACAATTTAAAAGGAAACACTGGTTTTGAAATTGTATATCATATTTTTTTCTCTCTTTAAAATAAAAAAACTAAAAATTAAAAGTAAGAGTGGGATAGCCCAGTGAACTTAAAATGAAATTTATTTATTAGTACATTTCCATCTCAGTAGTCTCTCAAGATTAGGGCAGGGCATTTAACTGTCATTTATGTAACAAGATAGACTCTTTGCAGCAAATAAGTTCGTTCAAATTTTCTGCCATTTCAAATCATGCAGTTGCCAATCGGGCAAATACCGTAGAGGAAAAATGTATTTCTTAAAGTGAAAAGTGAGCAAAGAAGTATAGAGAAAGAAAGGGAACAAAAGAAAACAAGACACTAAGTACATACAAATTTCATTCTGTGGTCCACTTCCTAATAAAGTTTTTTATTATATATAAGCTGTCAGTTTGCTTTTTTTTATTCTTTTTTAATAGGAAAACATAGAAAGACTGGAAGAGATGTGGCTATTAAAGTAATTGACAAGATGAGATTCCCCACAAAGCAAGAAAGTCAACTACGTAATGAAGTGGCTATTTTACAGGTAAAGAAAAAGGGCTTGGGTAGGCTTTAATTTTATATTTTTATCAGATTTTGACCCAGTCTGTTTAATGTGCAGATAAGATTTGATTTTTGTTTTATTCTTACAATCATTTAGCTAAGAAGAAAGCTATATAATTTTTTTTAAGATTACAGTAATGTAGGCATTAAGAAGTACCACTATTCTGCCAAATAGTAGTAGCTTATTTAGAATATACTTTCATAAGTAC